ATTCATACAAAATATAAGGTTTTGCGCTATTTGTATTTGTACTCCTTCCAAATGGAGCCTAAGGCTCAGTTTGGAAAGAGTGCAAATGCAAATATACACAGTACAAATACATACAAAATAATATAAAATATAAGGTTTTGCACTCTACAAATTTGTATTTGTACTCCTTCCAAACTGAGCCTAAGTTTCAACTTCTAATGGACATTGTGGTTGATGTCTGGTTGAAGACAAACTTTTAATGTGGGCTACCTTATCTAGATCATTGTGGCTCCTAGAAATTAGTCAACTTGATAGCATAACTAAAACACAGAATTGTGCAGGATTTCCCATTACAGGGACAGGCTATGCAGAATTCTCAGAATTTTAGCAGATGTAGAAAATTGTGGAGAGACATGAAGGTAATCTAGAGATGAATCACCTGATTATGCTAAATTTCAGAACCACTAAACTTACAGTGAGAGTATTCTCCTGTTGAACCTACTAAAAAATCAATATATCAGTGACTAGTTTACAGATTGCATTGGGAGTGGAGTTATGCATCTGCAAGGAATTTGTTGCTGCTATCTATAAGATCAAGATCAATTTAAACACCATACCTCACATCTAGGATATAGATATAGAAACTATCTTAATGGAAGTTTAAAAATGGCCAAAAACCATCTCATTAACACTGAGACCTCTGACAAAAACAAATCAAAGCAAGAAAGAAAAATAAATCATAGCATTAGCCAACCAGATAATGGCAAGCTAATGAACACTGTAACAACAGAAGGCTCCATCTTCCTCAATTGGTTATTTTCTTCAGCATAACCTAATAACTCCAATCTACTTCCCCTCCAAATTGAGTGTAGAGGACCAAGGGGGCAAGAAAAACATAATAAAGCCCTTCATAAGCTTTTATGACAAGTCATTTCTTGGAGCCACAAGCTTGTACTCTGTACTTCATCCCTCCTCTACCGATTGCCTAAACCACAAGCCGATAAAATCAGGTTTTTTCTTACTTTCTATTAGAATATCCTCCATGCTTTTCAAAAAAAAAAGGATATTATATAACCTCTTTGCCTATAATTATGGTTATATAGATTACTCTCCTCCATAAGAAGGAAAAAATATAATATATTTTACAATAATATACATTGACTAATGGGAGAAGAGACCATATGCATAATGTACATGCACAACACAGAGGTCCTTCATGACTATTAATTATGAGTTTTAAAATAGTTTTGGTATACACTATTTTCTAGCATTATATAATTATGTTTAGCAGATTGGAAAGATTGAGAAAATGTGGCAGCAAAAATACCCCATAAAAAAGAGTTTAAACTTAAGAGGAGATGCATGACAGGTTCAGCTCCACCATGTCCAAGGGCCTCAATCCAGAGTGCTCAGAATTGAACACCTTTTTGATTGATAATGAGCATAGCCAAGAAGCCAACACAAAGAGGAGGATGCTTACCTCCTATTCTAGAACCAAAATTTGGCATCTGTGGAATAAAAAGATCTGATCATAGACCAAGAATTTAGATGTCCCCACATTCACTTTGATTGTCATACTGCTAAATGTATACACATGACAGATCATCATATAGGTTCAGATAAATCATTCAACCAGTAATGCAGTATGAATGGACAGGTCACTGAGAATGATGAGTTGTAGTTTTATTATATATTTAATTACCTCTGAAGGCATCATTACAATAAAAATGCCCAACCAAAAGAAAAAAGCCCTATGCTACAACCTATTGGTAAGAAAACGTTGGCAATAAGTAACTTACAAACAGAACACTTTCAATTAGTTAAGTCTTGCAAACTCCATCACAAGCAGTCAAATTATCTGAACCATTTCGCAGAGCACCTTCTGCGAGTAACATTTCCAGTACCTTGTAAGATGGATATCTAATTGGTCTGTATGAATCTGAAGCATAAAGAAATGTTTATGTTGCCCCACTGCTCCACTGAGAGAATATTTCACCTGCAAACAAATCACACCTAGAACCAGTGTTTCATGATGGAATTCAAAGCAACCATGTAAGGATTTCCATATTAGCTACCTTGTCAACCCCAAGTAGAGATTTTCAGAACATACATTCTGAATGAATCTGGTCAAGATTTTCTAACGATGTAGGACCTCCATTGCAAAAGACAATCAAATATACCTGCCTCTTTGACCTATGTTCCTTCTGCAAAACCACGTAATCCTGTTTTTCAATTAAAAAGGAAATATATAAAACTTTGTTCGAGTTACATGGACCGAGAGTTAGGGTTTGTTTATCAGTAGATCTGGGACACCTCAAATTGGCTAGACATGGTGAAGAACCATGTTGAACATTAAATCACAAAACCAAACAGGAAAAAACAAACAAACAAACAAAGGTGTGACTGCAACTTTAGATCCATAACTTACTTTGATTGTTGCATCTAGTTTCTGGAGTGTAGGTCATTGATTTGCTTTGTTTTTCCTTTGAACTTGGCTGAAGACACAAGCTCATGTGATCGTTCTGCAATTACACTTTCTTCAGCCCAAGTTTTCTTCTTTCAGTTTCATTTACAATTGAAACTTTAGATCTGGGACACCTCAAATTGGATAGACATGGTGAAGAACCATGTTGAACATTAAAATCACAAAACCAAACAGAAAAAAAACCTTAGGCATGAGAGCATTGACTGCAACTTTAGATCCATAACTTACTTTTCTCATTGCATCTAGTTTCTGGAGTGGTCACTGATTTGCTTTGTTTTTCCTTCAAACTTGGTAAGTCACAAGCTCATGTGATCATTCTGCATTTACACTTTCTTCAGCCCGATTTTTCTTCTTCCATGTTTCATTTATCTTTTCAAGGGAAGCAGAGTCGCATCAATTTTGAGAGATCCAGTTTCCTCCTTTTTAAGAAACTAAATCCTCTTATATTCTTTCTTTTCCTCATTTAAAATCAAACCAAACAGAGGAAGATTTAGAATCTTTTGAAATATTCCAAAATTTCCTTTCTTTTCATTCAAACCAAACATAGCCTCAAGGTGCATGTAGGTGAAGGTGGGATTTAATTCCTCTTTTCCACTATATTACTCTTAGATGGATTTGTCTTTAATTTATGATGCAACTACTGAAAACACAGTGGTTTGTTTTAAGGGTGGTAAGCTCCAAGAGGTAAGTTTGTCTAACAGGGGCTACAATATCAGAAATCAAGACACTATTTCCAACACTTGCAATAGTTTATAAAGGAAGCTTCTTCTTTATCTATATATATTGAATTAATTTAAACTAAATTAGACTTTTTGATAAACTCAAAATGTCTGGAAATAGCATGCTACCCCTGTGAACTCAAATTTCTTTGCCAATACAAGATCGAAGAGATACTAGTTGTAAGAAGTAAATTACAAACCTCATTTCATTACACTAGAAAGAATTAAAGTGTGCCACAAAAACCATATCCTCAACCCATTTTAATTTTCTGATTGTAAAAAGAGAACATAAAAGACCAGTCTTTTCCACTAATTCTCACAAGGAGAAACAGATTACCTGCCATGACATATGACAACCCCTAAAAGCCTTTTTAAATGTACCGGTAAATGAGATTTGTATCTTTCTCCCTCTTCCTTAATCAGCTGATCAATTGGCTGGATCAGGTTCTGGTACAAATACAACTCAATCTCAAGAGCATCAAATGCACTAGTGCACCATTCAACCCCTCAACTGAGCCCCAATCATGTTCCATATAAGCCCCAGACAACATTCACCAAAGATTAGAATGAAATAGCTAAAATGTTGTTCCACAAAAATGACCTAACATAATAAACAAGCCATGTTAGAAGATACTACTGGGGGCAGTGCTGCCTGATCTAAAAGCATCAGCAGTGCCATTGCTAGTTTTGCTCACAACCCTCTTGCCAAAATACTCAGCAATCACAGAAAATCCATCCTTTGAGTTCTTCACTTGTTGGAAGAACCGATCTTGGTCCTTGGCATTCTGCTCCAAGCTTCTCTTCATCTCTAGGACAGATCTGTACTCAGGAGCACACTCAGGGCATTCTTTCTCATTATCTCCAAGGCAACGCTGGTGGAATGAGTGCATACACATGAAGTGCACAGCAGGGAGATCAAGGGTAAAAGTGCATGCAGTGCACTTACTAAGCTGGAAAATCCTTGCATTAGTCCTAAGATCCTGGATTTCTTTCCTCATCACTGAGGTGTCTTCCTGCACAAAAAATGTTTCACTGGAAGCATCAATTTTAGAGCCTTTGTATCAATTCTGTTGATAAATAATTACAACCATGAAACAGATAATTTGAAAGTCACTTGTCAAGGCTTAGTTGATGATGATGATGTGTCAATTCCAATTTGCACCTATTCTTTTTTCATAACAAAAACTGGAGAAAGATCAAAGGCTGATAATAAGCGTTCAGTAGCCTGAAGTAGAGAAATTGTTTCCTTGAAGATGAAGATAATAATAAAAAAGCAGACAGCATGAGTATCGAACTTGAAGGAGAAGAAAAATCTATGTGGCCTTAGTTATTGGTTATGGGACCATTTCTTGATGTAATGGTAAAATCTCGGGCTGACAAGCATGAAAGCCCAGGTTCAAGTCTGAGAGTGGCCACGTTGTGCTAAAAATATTGGATGTTGGGTGTGGGTCTGTATCCAGTCAACCACTCCCAAGATCTTGGATAGCCAGGACCAGCATTGAGTGGTTCTATTATTTGTTATCCACCAGCTGATTTATAAACATTTGTTTTTCTCGTATAAAAAAGATCCATAATGACCAACTAAGGAGAACTCAAATACTACACTCAAGTTTTTCAAAGGGCATGGTAAAGCATCCCGTCCAACTAGGGATCAAAGCTGCACAGCCTACCAAAATAAATAAAGAGAGAGAATATCTCGACCTTAAATGATTGTCAACATTTATTGATTCATTATTGAACAAAACTTCTTTTTATTAGTTCTAAGGACACTAATCACCTGTTTGGTTTTAGTACTAACCTAGGGTCTCTTAGTTGTGTTTTTTTTTTTTTTTATTTCAGGCCAAATAGGTTAAAGAGATTCCCTTGGAGCCAAGATTCTGGCCTTTATTCAAGGCTAAGAATGAACTATGTCCATCAGGAGGAAGCACCTTCGGATAGGAGTTTCTCAAGTTTTCTTTTTTTTTTTTTTGATCAGCAGGATTGGATTTCCCTTGGCTCACCACCTGACTGAGGCAAGAGACCTTTTGGATTCCTTGCTTGTTAAGCTCATCTGGATTCCTAGGGAGCTAAACTCTTTAGCAGATAACTTAGCCAAGTCTGGTGCTCACAGGGAAGTTTTATTTAGTGACAGAAACTTGCCTCTGTAACCACTGTGTTGGGCTTTTCTTGTACATTATCCCATGTACTTCCCTTTTCGATTCTTAATACAATCAGTTACTCTTTCTCTCAAAAAATGTTTTAGTAGGTTCATAGGTTGGATGCCATTTTGATGGGACCATGGTATACATGTCGTTTCACTAGATAATGAATCGCTAGTTCAGATTGATCAAAATATCAGCCAGTTACTTTGCAGATAAGCTTAGCTTGAGAGGACATATCCAGAGGTTTGTTCTATGAGGTCTTTTCTATGGGCTTACATTGTATTTCTGGTTTTGGTTCATCATTACTTCAGGTATTACTCTTATTGTACCATTTCTGGTATCCTTAACCCAGAGTTTTTTTGGGCTTAAGGGGTTACCACTTGTTTTTTTTTTTTTTTCTCTCTCTACATTACCGAATCTTTAGACTAGATCTATACTGAGTCACTGACATAAAGTATATATATCGAGAGAGGGTAAATGTATAAAAATGTGCTATTCCAAGTAATATCAAGTAAAAGCATATTAATATGGACAGAATACAAAATTAAAACAAATAGTTTATGAAAGAAAGTGCTAGCATAGCTGCAAACAAGCTTTGCTTTAGTATGTGTAGTAATACAATAAACAAGCCCATCTGAACCATATAATGAAATATTTATCATAGCACTGCAGGTTCACCTAGATTTACAAATGCAACAAAATACTCTTTAAGCTGTTGTTAGATTGATGGAATTTGGGTTGGTAACAGATTGGTCACCTGTGGTTCTCATAATATTCCAGATTCCTCTACTTGGGGAAGGGGGCACTTCAATCACCTAGAATTGAGGCAGAATGAAATTCATTCCAGTTCCACCTCATTGGCCAAACACAGCCTTCGGGCTGTGTTGAAAAAAAGAATCCCAAGTTTCACTGCATGGAAGATGCCAGTTTTCAAATAAAGTAAACAAGAGGAAAGTATGTCTAATAGCTGCATGAATACAAACCTGGTATTTCTCAATAGATCGGCGGTCTTCTTCAATCAGTTTTGATTCTTCTTCAAGTTTTCTAGCAATGTAATCCTTGACAACGGAGAGAGTGAGACATGGATTTCTGGACAGTGTCTGAAGAACAACAATAGGAGGTAATATGTCATCCCTTTCAATATAAGTCAACACTTCCTTTACTTCTTTGGAGCAATCTTCTCCAAGCTCACCAAAGTATTTCAGTAGATCACCCCAAAGAGATGGATCACCTCCTTTACTTGAATCCCCCAGCTTCTTGCAGCATGAAATCAACCCTTCATGGTCATGGGCTTGCATGTAGCAAGCAATCACTTCTTTATAAAGTTTCATCTTCTCATACAGAAATAACAACCCTTCTTTAAATGCATTCATCTCACAAAGAATGATAGCAAGATCGACATCATACAGTGGATGTTCCAGGTCAGATGGCCATGCATTTTTAAGCAAGTGTAGTCCCTTCTCAAGTCTTCTGAGGCGATCCTTTTCCTTGTCAATATCTTTTCCCTTAACAATTGATCTTTCCTTGGAATCTTCCATAGACATCTTATCTGCTACCATTGAACTTGTTGCTCTAGAATCAACAACAGTGTTTTCTTGTGAGACAGATGGGAAATTCAAGTCATTAGACAGGTAGAGCTCCAAGAGTGTGTTGTGAATTTCTATTTGAGCAGGTGAATCCTTCACCTTGCTGGTGTATTTCTCGAGAAAATCCAAAAGAGACTGAGGGTGGTGAATGAAAATGTTGATGAAATCAACAGGAGAAGGTAACATGGATATGTATGTACTGTTTGACTTCCCTTTTTTTGCTGATTCTGCTTCCTCAGTACACAGCTTCATGAGTATTTCAATTGTCTCCATGGGCCTGTGCTCAATGAGAATCTTTCCATACTCTTTTACTGTGGCACCCGCTTGACTGGGTTCAAGACTTGAAATGTATTCTAGTGCTTCTTGATATCTACCAAGATCTTCGAGCAGGATCTTTAAGTATAATTCATGCTTCCCTGATTTCTTAGCAACATACATGGCATGTTCATGATACCCCGCAGCACGGCATACCCTTATTGCAGTCTCCACATCAAACTTATGTTCTCCAATGCTGTCTTCACTTTTGATAAACATATTTAACTTCTCAACATCTTTCAGTTTAGTATAACAGTTGAGAAGGAGAGTGGTGTGGTCCTTAGAAGCCAGCCCCTTCTCATGTAAGTTTTCCAGGTAATTTGTAAGGTTGTATATTCTTTGTGCATCAAGAAATTTCTGTATCACATAAGAAGGTTCAAGGTGACCAATGGTGTTTATATATTGAGCCATAGCTTCATCATAGTCTTGTTTCCCATATAAATGATCCCCATATTTCCTTAGCACTTCAGCAGTTGCTGCTGCATCAGCTTGCTGGCTTTGAACCAGATTGATAGCAACAGTATACAGATTCTTCCTGAAAAGCATATCTAACTTGCTTTCCATGTCCTTCTCTCCTATGCACAAAGTGGTTTTGTCACTCATTATAAGGATTATGTTACCCCATTCACAAAGCAAGTATGAAACTTCTCTAACCATCAAACTATGGGCAATGAGTCGGTTCTTCAGGTCATATACATTGAAAGTATTTCTTCCATTTCTTTGATCTGCAATAACACATAAGAGGTACCCACGGAACCATCCAAGAAATTTCTTCTCCCCCTCAAATGCCCAACAAGGGCCACGCCCATCAACTTCATAGAAATAAATAGCTTCTGGACGCCCAACTATTAGCTCCTGGTTAGTTGACAAGGACAAAATTCTCAATTGCATGGAAATATATAATGTACTTCAGGAAGCTTTAACACAAGAAAGCTAATCTACAAAAAGAAACCAAAACTGCATACCAAACGATCACTCATTGTGACACTATTAGCACCACACCCAATCTGATCAAGAGTTTGCCTCCTAGGTGGTTGATCCTGCAGGCTGAACAAACTCACTGAACTGGGAGTCACAGCAAAGAGTTGAAGGGCCTGACCATCAACTCGGAATCCTAGGCCTGTGATAGAAGAAAGGCTCTTATCTGAAATATTCTCCACTTGAAGCTTGAAGCGGGTTATGCGCTCACGTGCCATGTCCCCCTTGATGCAGTAAATGCAACCGTTGTCTAGCCCTATGGAGATGAGCAATATTGGCGGAGCTTCCTCAAGGACTAAGAATGATGTAATCTGCAGACAATCAGGTGCAAGGTCTTAGACTCAAAAGAAAAAAAAAAAAAACTCAGAACTTAGAGACTTCACTGGTAATAATGCAAAATTAAGATACATTGAATGGCTCTAAAGTGACAATAGATAAAAGAAGTTATATCATGCACCTTTGCTTCAGGAAACTGGTTAGTGAATATCCGTAATATTTGAATGCAAACAGGACTTGATGTGCTGGAACCCTCTGGTTGCATCTTGTCAAGGTCAAAAACCTTAAGGCAGATAGATGATAATTGTGGTGATGCTTGTTCATCTTCTCCAATAGTCAGCAGGAAGTTGCGTTGCTAATTTAAGCAAGAAATAAGAAACTGGTTAGGTTGTCATATAAGCAGTAATTAACCAATCAAGTTTAAAGTTGTCATTGACAATAAGATAAGAAATAGCATTGGTAATTCACTAATTTTTTACCAAAAAAAAAAATCTTATTTCTAATCTATGCAACCAAACTATTCAGTTGATAATATATGGTCCTCACTTAGGACAAGGTTGTAGATGGCTTCATCATGGCATTTTACCAAGATTGTTGGGAGTGGCTAAAGGAGGATTTAATGAAAGTCTTTGAGGAATTCTACCACAGAGGGATTATCAATAGGGGGGTTAATGCTACCTTTATCACATTGGTTCCTAAGAAATTGGGAGCATGTCACCCCAAGGACTTTAGAACCATTAGCCTAGTGACAATTCAATACAAAATCATAGCCAAAGTTCTCTCCATCCACCTAAAAAAGGTCCTCCCATCATTTATCTCATAGTATCAAGGAGCCTTTATTAAAGAAAGACAGATTCCATATCAATTGCTCATTGCAAATGAATGTGTAGAGGAATTCAAGAAGGTTGGGAAGAAAGGTATTGTTTGCAAATTGGATTTGGAGAAAGCCTACAATCTTGTGGACTGGGGTTTCTTGATTGAAGCTTTGAGCAAATGCGGCTTTGGTGCAAAATGGTGCAAGTGGATCATAGGATGCCTAAAATCTTGCCACTTTTCAGTCTTGGTGAATGAGATGGTTAAAGATTTTTTTGGTGCTATGAGAGGCGTGAGACAGGGGGATCCACTATCACCTTTTTCTATTCACTATTGTAGTGAAGGTGTTTAGCAGATTGATCACAAAAGCAGATGAAGTGGGTCTCTTAAACGGGTGGAGAGTGGGGAGAGATAGGGTGGTGGTATCCCAACTTCAATTTGCAGATGACATAATTATTTTTTGTGAGGGGGAGGGTGAGGAAGAGGCTAGGAATCTAAGGATGTTATTGAGCTTGTTTGAGAAGGTGACAAATCTGAAGGTTAATCTCAATAAAAGTGTAGTGGTTGGGGTAAATATGGGGCAGGAGGAGACTGAGGTGTGAGCAAGGGAACTCAGGTGTGTGTCCAATGATTGGCCTATGAAATATTTAGGACTCCCTTTAGGTGCACACCCTAGATCTTTGACTTTCTGGAGCTCGGTAGTGGAGAGATTTGAGAAGAAGTTAGCGGCTTGGAAGAGGAATTACCTATCATTGGGTGGTAGGATAACCTTAATCAAATCTACCTTAGCTAACATTCCGATCTACTACCTATCGGTGTTTAGCAGCCTCAGGCGATTGTGAAGAAGCTGGAGAAAATTATGCATCATTTCTTGTGGAAACCGGGGGAGGCAAAGAAGGATCATTTAATCATATGGGAAATAGTTTCTAGAAGGAAGGGATATGGAGAGTTGGGGTTAGGGAGGCTGAAAGAAAAGAACCAAGCTCTTATTCGAAAGTAGCTATGGAGATTGCCGAGAGAATCGGACAGGTTATGGCATAAAGCGGTTGCTAGTATTCATGGGCTCTCAGAGAATGGGTAGGATGCTGGAACTTCTAGCAAGGCCTCTTGCTCTTCACCTTGGAAAGCGATTCAGCAATGTCTCCCAATTTTTCTCAATCACATCAGACTTGATATTAATTCAAGTAACAAAATCAAATTTTGGGAGGACCTTTAGGTGGGCGAAGTCCCTTTGAAGGATTCTTTCCCTTCCTTGTTTACCCTATCTGCTCTCAAGGGCAAACCCATTTCTAAGTTTTTGCTCCCTTCTCCTTGGTTCAGGTGGAATCTAGGCTTTCGTAGAAATGTGAGGGACACTGAACTGGGCCATGTTTCTAACCTACTACACATTCTCGAGGGGTTTTCCTTGACCTAAATAAACAAGATGATAGTATTTGGACTCTACATTCTTCTGGGGTTTTCAGCTGTGCTTCCTTTTTCAAGTCGTTGTCTTTGCCTTCTCAACCAGACAACCAATTGTTCCCTTTCCAGTCAAAGAGATTTGGTGTCATCCGAGTCCCCCCAAAGTGAGTGCTTTCTATTGGGAGGTCTTCCATGGTGCAATCAACACTTGCGATATTCTACACAGAAAGAGACCTAGATGGTGCCTTTCCCCAAATTGGTTCTGCTTGTGTGAATCTAACGGTGAATCTGCTCATCACATTTTCATTTCCTGTTCGTTTGCTTGTGGTATATGGGATTGGTTTTTCTCTCTTTTTGGGTGCAGGTGGAATACTCTGGACAGATTGGACAGGTTGTTTGATGGTTCTACTTTCAGCTGGCCAAAAAGAAGGGGAAGACTAATGTGGAGGTGTACAAGGGCAGCAATAATCTGGACCTCATGGGAGGAGAGAAATAAACGTATATTCGAGGAAAAGAAAAGGAGAAAAGAAGCATTAATTGAAGGGATTATGGCAAAAGTGGCTTTTTGGACAAAGACACTGGAGTTGTTTTCAGCTTTCTCTATTGATGACATAATAAGGAACTGGAGACAATTGCAGCCTCAACTTCAGCCAAGTGGAAGGCACTAAAGGGTTGGGATCCCCCAGAGTTAGGATTCCTGAAATTAAACTTTGACGGAAGTAGTTTTGGGAATCCGGGTCCGTCTGGAATTGGAGGGGTTTTAAGAAATGAAAGCGGAGTGATCATGGGCATGTACTCAGGCCCCATTGGATTGTGTGATTCTGTAACAGCAGAACTGAATGCAGTGATTTACAGGATGCAGAAAACTATGGAGATGGGGGTAAGAAAGCTAATAGTTGAAGGTGACTCCAAAATAGTAATAAGTTGGCTAAAACAGAATGAGAAGGCTCCTTGGTTTTTTAGAAACAAAATCAAACAATTCAAGAGGTTCTCAAAGGGATATGCAGCTGATAATTCAATGAATAGGTCGGAAAATGGTCTAGCTGACCAACTAGCAAAGCAAGGGGTAAACAGGGCAGTGTGTTTCTGGGCTCAATTGTGAGACTGAATATTAAATTGTCTTTGTATTTTCTTAGAGGTAGCTGAGGCTGCCTTTGATTTGTACATTTCTCTTTGATCGAGGGAGATATCTAAGTAATAAAATAACTTTGTATTTTCTCTTTGATTTCTTAGAGGTAGCCTCAGCTGAGGTAGCTGAGGCTGCCTTTGATTTATTACTTAGAGGTATCTAAGTAATAAAATTTGATGTTGGTGCTGATAAAAAAAGGTTATAGATGGATTAAGTGGTTACATTTTTTTTCTTTGATCGATAACAAATAACTTTCATTAAAAATTAAGCTTTAAGTACAAGACGAGGGAGATAAACTATCTAACTCCCCCAAGAGAAACTGAAAGCCACCCAAAAAAAAATGAAAAATACAATTAAAAATGAGCCCAGAATAAAGATTCCCTATTCACCCCTTGTTTGGCTAACCCATCGGCAAAAGAATTTGCACTTCTCTTCACCCAACTACATTTTACATTAATGTCCTTTATCAGCCATTTAAATTTATTTTTTTCATTGCTGTAGTTCCAAAGCCCACTCTTGTCTTCCTTTAACCAACTCACTACCACCTCAGAATCTCCTATTACCAGCTTACTAATATTCAGTTCTTTAGCTCTTTGAATCCCTTCCAAAGCTGCTAGGATCTCATCCCTGAGAGAGCCACCTTCTCCAATTGGGCTTGAAAAAAGGAGTTAATACATTCCCTTCTTCATTCCTTAGAACTCCCCCAATACCTTATGGCCCTGGATTTCCACTGCTACTACCACCAAAGTTCAGTTTTATAAAGCCATTAGTGGGAGGGGTCCAAATTGGACCCTTTTTTTTTATAAATGATGAAGTTTTATTAAGAAAGAGAAGGAATTACATCAAAGTTTTACAAGACAAACATCCCAATAAGGACATGAGGTGCAACCCCTAGACAAAATACAAATTACAATTGAGCCAAAAAAGAGTTCAGACTTATGCACCCCCATTTTTTGCAAAGTAATCTGCCATCCCATTTGCTGACCACCTTTCCCATTGAACTATTGTCATATCTATAACCAGCCATTTGAATCTTTTCATAGATTCCTTAAACTTCCAAATTACTGTTTTCGGTTCCTTGCAAGACTGCTTGGAAGTTAGCAAAAACTGAATCCCCTATTCCCACCGGGCCTGAGAATACAGCAACAATATGTCCTTCATTATTCCTGAATACTCCACCTATACCAGTTAACCAGTCGGACCTGGATTCCCTAGACTGCTGCCATCAAAGTTCAACTTGATAAAACCATCGTCAGGAGGTTTCCAAGCTATCACTGGTTTGTTCCTTGCAGTAGAACTTCTTGTTACAACTCCAATTTCTCCACAAGTCATCAATAGAGAAGTCTGAAAAAAGGCTTGAGGCTTTAACCCAATGTATAGCTCTATTTAAGATACATTCCGACACTGCCTCCTCACTCCTTTCTTTATCACTGAAGACTCTGCCATTTCTCTCTTCCCACACCGTCCATATCAAAGCAGCCCTAACTAACACATCTCCACATGAGTTTACCTCTCTTCTTCGGCCAGCTGAAAGTCGTAGAGTCAAAGAGACTTCCAATCTGCAGAGGCACAATCCACTTGTGACCAAAAGGACCAAAAACCTTTTTCTAGAGGCCTACAACAAACGTGCAGGAAATTTGGTGGTAACAGATTTCACCACTTGGTTTACAAAGGGTACACTAGTTGGGGGAAAGACACGGAGAAAGTCTTCTTCTTTTTTGCAAGGTTTCTAATGTGTTTATTTCTCCATGAAAAACTTCCCAAGACAAGGTCCCAACCTTGGGAGGGATAGGTTTAGACCAGAATTCTTTAAAAGGGCACAGAGATAGATTCAGGCCTGAGCACAAAGAAGAGAAGAACAATGCACAAAAGAACAAGCCCCCAGGGTGAAGAGTCCAAATACTACCATTAGGCTTAGAAGGATCTAGGACTACAGAGTCAAGGACTTGGAAAAGTGAGATTGCCATGTCAAGCTCACAGTCTCTCAAGTTTCTTATTAGTCTCGAGTCCCA